ATCGCCTGACCGTGCTCCCGTCCTCGCAGGACTCCCCATAGACCGGCTCGAGTCGTTGGTGAAAATCTGCTTGTCTCACACCCTCCAGATTCAGAAATAGTTAGCGACGGGTGGTGAAGATTGCGCCAAAATCGAGTCGACAGTATAACTTGCACACGGGTCGTTCTCGCGGCTAGACTAGAGACCGCGCAGCGTTGGTCCCTCTATACTTTGATAGCCGTAACCGCAAAATACCTTTAAGCAAATCAACATCCTCGGATACTCTAATGTTGATAATGAAGTCTATGAGGCTGTCAAAAAAATGGCTTCGAAATGTAACAAGGAATTTTACCGCGATGGCACACAAACGTGTGAAAACCTTCGTGAAACGCTGGCGAAAGTGCCTTGATCACTATGGAAACTATGTTTAAAAATTGTCAGACCTTCAGGATACACTAGGCAACTCACCGTAAAAGTTAGGAGCTATTTTGTTCAAAGGTAAACCAGGAAGAAGTAAACGTGCATTACTTTTGGAGCGACCCTCTTATTAAATTGGAATTAAAATGTTAATCGTCAACTTTAATCTTTGCGAGGTCGAAAGACAATGACTTCGAATGGGCTTTTAGTTACGTTAGTCTTCGCTTTATACCTTTATTTTTCAACTATTATCCTTTTAAGTCTATACGTTCACTTACACTGCAAGCAGCACATATTGTGGATACAATAGGTGCAGAAATGCCTATTTCCTTTCTTCACTCCCTTCACGTTATGAAACTGAACCTCCTCGTGATCCTTTCTGAGTGTTTCTCGAACGAATTGCAGCATCATTCTAACCCTCTTGACATAGCACTGCTCCAGATAATTTTGAAGCTCCATCTCCCCTGGGTTGCCGATAACACTGATTCTCGCATTTTCAAGATAAGTTTTTTTTAATTTCATTCCTTTCTTCACTCTCTCCCCCCCCCCCCCCCATGGGTAGTACCTCCAGGGGTGTTTGCGGAGAATATATTTCAACGGGAAAATGTTGACAATATGGAAAACATTGACTTGCTCACGATGAGACCTGTTTTTGTTTGCGATTCATCAATTCGGTATAAAAGATGAAATTAGCTCCCTCTCTCTCTGTCAGGAGATGGGGTCCGAGCACGATGTTCTGCTGTACCACACAAAGGTACGCTGGCTCTCCAGGGGCAAAGCACTTCAGCGCTTTTTTGAGCTCCGTGAAGAGACACTTGCCTATTTCACAGAATGTGAGAAGCAGGAGTTTATAGATTTTCTGAGCGACGATCGCCAGATGTGTCTCCTTGCCTACCTCTGCGACATCTTCCTGAAGCTGAATGAGCTGAACGCTGGTCTGGAGTGTAAGGATACCCACATCCTTATGCTGAATGATCGCATCAATGGATTTGAGAAGAAAATAGGTTTTTGGAAGACATGCCTCAACGCGAAGAAGTTCGAAGTCTTTCCAAGTCTCTCTGGAATCCTTACTGAGAATAGCAGCATTCAGTCACCGACAAAATTCATTGTTACGCATCTCAGTCGTCTGGAAGATAGTTTTCGCTCCTTCTTTCCAGACCTCCACTTATCGAAGCTTGACTGGATTCGAAACCCGTTTCAGAGTCGTCCTGAAGAGACAGATTTACCAGGAAGAGAAGTAGAACAGCTCATTGAACTTTCCACAGGCAGAAGTCTTCTGACTTCGTTTTCTCAGATGCCGATCACTGATTTCTGGCTCAGTGTCAGGGCAGAATACAAGGAACTGTCCAGTAGCGCTATCAAGTGGCTCGTACCTTTTGCCACATCTTACTTGTGTGAAGCGGGATTCAGTGCAGTGGTGGCCATCAAGTCCCGATATCGTTCGTCCCTGGACCTGTCCTCAGAATTCCGATGCGCACTCTCCCCGACGAAGCCGAACTTCGACCGGTTGTGTCACGAGGCGCAGGCGCAGGTCTTGCATTAGTTGAGGTAAGTTTCGGCGCCTAAATGCCAAGTCATGTTTTTCTTTGCGATTTTAGCGCATAGGTGGGGGAGTCTGTCGAACTTCGGCCAGTGCTTGGGGTCGTGAATAGTACGATTGTGATTTTTGGGGTCGTGCGAGAAAAAGGTTGGGAAGCCCGACCCTATAACATGGTTGGACCTGAGATTTTTGGCCTTCCGCATCACTGGGGTACATCCTCGCGACGTGGACGCGCGAACCATTGAGGACACCCTCATAGTTTCAGCTAAAATTGCTAAGAGTGATGTGGTGAAAATCGTTCTCTCACCTGGTTCTGTCATAGAGAATGAATTCACTTGGAGTGGCAGCTCAAGACAGGAAGATAATTTCCTCTATCCCAATGCTGATGTCAAGTTAGGAGATGCCATCTTTCTTATTTGGGCATTCATCCTCATGAACAATAGGCCCATATCAAAGACTGCGATGGGGAAATTACTTGATCTTCTTCATATCCTGCTCACGAAACAAAATTTGCCACCAAGATCAATTTCGTTCACGGAAAAGTTCATGGAAAGGAATCGTGAAAATGACTCAAAAATTTTCTACGGCATCAGATGCATGGCCTTTGTGCCTAGCTGGTGGAGAGAATTACTCTCGTCTTGCTTGTTTTAGTTCATATTCCCCAAGAGAACTTGAGGAGTGAGGTTCATACCCTTTCTCATTTGATCTCAATTCCTAAATTAAGTCTATCCTTGAGACATTTTCTAGATCAGTTGATATGTAATTCTTCTCTCTCCAAAGATTGTGTGCATGGTAGGCTGCATAAGGTTCAGTTCCCTGACATATCTTTAACTTTTAACACAAATGAAGCGGTATTTTTTTTAGTCTTCTAAATGTTAAATATGGTCTATTTTAACTACTGTAAATGAATTACACCCAATGGAGCGCATGAAAATATCTTAGTACAGTATATTCTCTTGCAATTGCAAAGAGAAACCCAACCTGAAGTTATACTTTGGGGATTTGTGAATAGATTGAATGCGCTTTCATCAGTAGGGGTCGAGTGGTTATCTTCAGCTAGGACTGCCACTTCAAGGGTTTGGGGCACAGTTTGTTCTGTTTATTTTGTAGCTCTTGCACATATCCAAAACATAATGCTATTCAATGAAGAGTATGATGCACATGGTGCTTTTACAAGGAAAGATGATGCAGAATGGAGAGGGTATTCCCAAGCTCATGATACTAACACAATTCCTTGAGAAGATGAAGATTATTAGGTCGCGTGCAAGAAAAGCCGTTTCAACGCCTGTTTCAATAGAGGTCCTTAGTACCAATACTTTTGTGTCCCCTTTCAGAATATGAATGGAGTCCTTTCGAAAATTTTTCATGGCACACAAGGTGCTCTAAAACAAATATCTGATAAGTTAGTATTTTTTATATAAAGCCATGCGCAAATTGTATTCAGGATCTTCCTTTTCACTCTCTTCCTTTTCGAGGAATACTTGGAGATCTACAGGGTGATTGAAAAATAACTGCCTATTTTTAAACAGACATCAACCATGTTGTGGGAAAGATAAAAGCATGGTTCAACGGCTTTTAAAATATAATTTAATGCAATGTTATGCCATTTGGATTAAAACTTCACATAATCACCAGCACCTTCCACATTTTTTCTTAAGCGCACAGCGACATTATCCACAGAGCGAAAGAGATACTGCTATGGAACATTCTGGGTAACCAGATCATTTAGTAGCTAAGAGGATAGGGTCCTACTGATACCTCTACGAAAGATCTCCAGGAAGATCGACTCATAAGAAGCTAGAAAATTCATCACAACATTCATGTCACTTTTTATACCCCTTCAGTAGACCCATTGGTAGCACATTGAAAATAAATTCATAGAAGCTATCTTCAATTGACAAATATGACATTTTGCCAGTCACCATCAAAGACATCTGTCTTCTAATGATGGAAGTAAAATAAAAAGTGTATTGCAATTGGAAGTGCCTCGGGCTTAAAACTTTTTGACCGACCCTCGCACACAAGTCATAAGGGTTGTGGTACGTTTTAGTCTTACATTTGATATGGTTGGAGCCATGCAAGAAATATCGGCTTATTACGGATCGTAACGGATGACATCCTGTTATCCCCAATATTTTCATTCCAGTGTTCTTGAGAGCTCAAGTTGCTGATGCGAGTAAGTGTAGGTCATGTGCGCTGGTAGATGAGCTGAAAGTGGAAAGATAAGAAATACCAGTGGGGGGCAAATGAGATAGATCAGTTCCGAAATTCGGAAAAATACTTTTTATCTCAAACACGAACAGGATACCAAATTCATGTAAAACTAGAATTTAAATATTCTCGTTTCCTCGGCTTGCGAAAATGTTCAGCAATTTATCTAATTCTGAACCCAAAATGTATTGATGTGCATGCATCAATGCGACATTTGTCAGGCGCTGTGTCGTCGTCGTTTGCATCCAATTTGTTAACCACCTCAATTCCAAAAAAGACTTCTCTGCTGATGCATACACAACATAAGTAGCACAAAAACCGCGTCTTTCGTGAGCAAGTATGAAATCCATGGCCACATATCGAAGTACTTTGCATCGAATGCCATGCCCCCTTTTCTAGGGAAATTTATCAATTATAAATTATATTTAAAACGGCCACTTTCACTAAAATGCATAGGTTCCTGAGCAATCTTGTCCGTAAAGACAACCGATAATAACAAGATGGGCCACGAATCATGCTACAGTTTGAATTGCAGATAACTTTTGTCATATAAACTCCAATTCTTTGGTCTTTTTCAGATTGAAGACTATTAATTGGAATTTTAATTAATTTAATTAATACCTAGGATTTGCCGGAAAGACTAACATTTTGGAGCTTTATTTCGAACATGGTTCTATTAAATCTGCTCAACGTGAATTCAGGAGAGAATTGCACCGTAGAGATGCACCAGCCGTTGAACAATAATGCAATTCGTTAAGAAGTTCTGCGAAATGTAGGAAGAAAAATTTATCACCGTCACTCTGCAATTAGAATGCCGGAAAAAATTGCAGCAATTGGTCAGCGACATGTCATGTGACAAGAAATATAATGGATTTATTTCGCCATAAGTTTGGTGAAAGACTTATTACAAGGAATGGTCCAATTCACTTTCCTGCCAGATCACATGATTTGACTACATCCGATTATTTCCTGCGGGACTATTGTAAAACAAAATGTATACAAAAGTAAATCAAACAATCCAGAAGAGCTGATCATCCCATTCTCCCTCTTTAGTATGCCGATGACAACTGCGGCAAACAAAATTTAAAAAATCTGTTATACGCCCTCAATAGAAGCGAATGGCGATCGTGGAAGTAGCGGGACAAGGAGTCTTGGTGGAGGTCGGATTCAGTGAAGATTACCCATTCAAGACTCTCTTGATGGTGTTCTGAATGGGATTTTTTTCCGATGCGGAATTCCCTCGGAAGTCGTCCGTCTCAACAGACCAGACCATCCCCCCGGCCAGACCCAAGTCCAAGATCAACTGTGCCTATTCCACAACGCGACCAATAAAGTCAGCAATCACTTGCGGAAAATATTTCTTTTTTGATCGAAATCGGGAGCAGACCTTGAGGGCGATGCTTTCGTTGTCGTCATATCCAAACCACTGGTTCGAGTTGAAGGTGCAATAAGGAGCTTTGATGTCATGGTTCCAGATCCTCTGGAAGTCTCCATACCGTTTCTGAACTTCGCACATCTACAATGAAATTATATTTCATGTTCACAAAAGAACAGTATCGGTAATTTTAAATTTGACCAAAATGGCGTCCCGCCCAGGACGTCTTCAGTGTTGTCTCTTGCATTCCTTTCTTTGAACGAAATGAAAAACTTTCAGAAAGAAGAAACTTTTCCCTTGTGCACCGATGATCTAACCTCGTTGAAGCCGAGGATTCCTGCTTCTCTTGTGTAAGGACCCGCCGTGCCAGGCCCAGAAGTTGGAGCATAGAAGCCATTATTGCTTGGGTTAGCCAAAGTGAAACCTCGTCCGTAGATAGGCATTCCCATCACCAATTTCTCTTTTGGGGCTCCCAAGCTCAACCAGTAGCGCATGCTGCAGTTCTATAGTGAAAGAACACATGAAATAAAATTATTCGTGAAATTAAGCCGTGAATTAAGGGAAGATTGGGAGCTCACAGCATTGAAGTATGTGTTGCCTCGGGATTGATCAAGTGGATGGGCGAAGAGGGGAGCATTGTGGTGAGTATAGGATTCCCAGGCTCCATGCATGTCATATACCATCACATTAATGTAGTCCAGTGTCCTAAATGCATTTCATGTAATGTATATTTCAATTCCAATTAGAATTAGATAGAATTATACTCATAATTTAAAGCTTAGCTCGAAAGAAAAGACATTTAATTGCATACTAAATTGTCTGGTATGGTAATTCATGACAAGAAGTGAAATTAAGATTTAAAAAATCATTCTTACTGTGACATGGCAGGGACGTCATAGGCGGTGTCGATGGTACCCTTACCAGCCGAAACAGCAGCAGTCAACAGCCACCCGTATGGCATGAAAGCTGCCTTCAGGTCTCTTAGCAGCTGCACAAAATTCGCCTGAAACCGGCCGAAATGAAAACAAAAGTTCTCCCGTCTACTTCATACCCAGAAGACCATAAAAGCTTTGTTTACTTGTAACGTGATAGGGAAATTGTCAAATGGGGGGGGGGGGGAAGTACATTGCCAGAAGTCTCATGTGCAGGCGAATGCCTGACATTTAAAAGAAATTTCTTATTTAAAAAAATGGTCTCACTGTTCTGATGAAATCTATTTTTCAGAACGAGTAACGAATTGTTTCTCTGCATTGCCAAAATAGTTATTCCTGCTAACAAGGCACATGCAAAAATGCTTTATTTCATATTGCAAGTGAGAAATCGTTGCTGAAGCTGCTTATGATTTTCGGAAAAAAATTCATTTAGATGATAAAACTCCTAAATAACCTGGCAATTATGCGTTTCGCATTCCATCTGTATGCATGCAAATTTGGAAAATTTTCGGTTGATCCAATGCAATACCTGAACGTCCTGAAAGCATACCTTGTCAGCGCTGTTGCCTCCTCTGTTAGCCGGATATTCCCAGTCCATATCCAGTCCGTCGAATCCATATATCCTGAGGAGATCCACGCAGCTTCTCACGAATGTTGCCCTCTTCGTCGGATCTGCTGCCATCTACGACATTAGACATTGAAATCTCGATGAATATACAACAGAAAAGGGTCAATAACATAATGTCGAAAGCAATAATTCCGACAGCTCAATTCAACGAAAACGCGGTACAGCGATGGATGAAAATGTGGAACAGAAGTATCGAATCCCTCAGTTCGCGGGACGTTGAATGCACTGACATTCTTTCCCTGAAAGAATGTTGAGAATTCTGTAAACCCAGACAGATTGATTCCTGCGAAGTCAAAACTACAAATTTCTTTTACATACAATGACTTCCCCATCCGTATCCCAATGATTTGTGCTCTTTCTTTCGTACCAGCACAAGATGTTCTCTTTCAAGTGTCACGCCAGCAGTAGCGGTACCAATTGACACGTTTTTCTGTGAATATTAATAATTAATATTAAACATATTGACGGAAGGCGAACAGGAGAGCTTCCAAGAACAAATCCACCATTCCCTACTGTTTTGTGGAATATAAAGGACGGCCAATCAGCCACTTCCTGAGAAGAGGAGATATTAAATACCGTAAAACTCTCGAATCAAGCGTGTGAGACTCATCGAACTTGTTTCATAATATCCTACTTGAGAGTCATTGCTCACAATGTGCGACTCTGAATTGACAGAACGTCCATGAGTTTCTTTGACCTCCCCCTCCCCTCCTCTTGACCTCTCTTTAGCTCCTAGTCAACGACATTTGATGACTGTATTCTCTAGGAAAGTTATTGCTTGCCAATCTGATGGGGAAATGCCAGATATTGCGGTCGATTTGTCACTTTTTTAATTCTTTTTTTTTTCTCCTTCCGTCTGTCTGCAGTAATCATAACCAAGACAACACAACCCAATGCGCACGTGTGGCTTTCCACCGGGGTCGGGGTGTCCGTCTTCCACCTAAACATCCACTTCCCTTCCAGTCCTGGCGGTTGACGGATCCATAGTAGACAAAGGAGAGCAGTTGCTCCCGGCCGCGTGGACAGGGTTGCTAGGCGTACGCGTGAAATGCCGTATCTGGCATCCAATACTTCATAATGTCCTCCCGTCTCCACGCGATGCGGACTCACAGATCATGGAGAACATGTCTAGTTGTCCAGGCCTTTTCATATAGGCCTACGCCGAACTAATGATAGCTATTATTTATTTTCAAGGTTGGATAGTTAGGTTGATGTATATATATATAATAAATCAGTGGTACAGGGGCCAGTGGAATGCCAGATCAGTACCTGGGCTTGTATTCACTAGTAACTGCATTCCATTTAAGACTTGGAAATAAAATGTCTCATTGACGTTTTTAGCATTCGACATTTAGTACTTCTACATTTTATGGCTTACGAATTTAAAACATTCTACATACATGTAAGTAGGCAAAATGGAATCGGGCTAACCCGAATTCGACACTTCGTTGTGCACAGACGGCGAAGGATAGCATGCAAATGCGGTTTTAGCTTCAGATTTAAGATTTCCTTGCAAAGTTCATATTTGTTGAAGGCCAACGCATCAAACAACGTTATCTTAGAACGTATTAGTTTTTGAGCCAAGTCACTCATGTTGTCTGCGTTGTCTCGTCAGTCACGCGACTGACGAGACATTGGGTCAGTTGCACTGCTTCAGCAAAGTCAAACTTTTCGTTAAGTCGGACTTAGGAAGCATGGTAAACAGGCTCCCGATCAGACTTAACGCGAAAATCTGACTTAACAGGCAGTACAACTGGCCCATTTTGCTGTTGATTAGAACTTTCAGGAAAATTTTGCCAATTTTTTCAAAGGAAGCATCATTGTCAACAATGAGATATTCTGCTTTCCTCACAATGTTAGTACGTACTGCCTGGCTGGTTCCCGTGAAATCCACAATGACTAAATTTTCAGTTTTTCCTTATAGCCGCCCGGGACTTATTCCCTATTATATGGAGTGTATGTTTGAGAAGGTTTAATTTACTTATTGAAAATAGGATGTATACCTGGGAGAAAGTGGTGGATCCCTCATTCCATCCTCCGACGGCCAAGAGAGTCTTGAGTCCAGGGCTCCTCTTCTTCAGAGCGTTGAATCGTCGGTATGCATCTACAACATGCAAAAGCATTCTTTATATCTGTGTTCCCTGGGACCTGTCGGGAAAAGGCACAGATACAATAGTTCGCATAAACTGTACCTCATATTCCTGCATATTTGTTGCATGTTTTCATTATTTTACCCACACATGTATTTTGAAGATATACGATTGTTGAAAGTAATCGGATTACACAATAGAAGTGTTTTTTAAGTACCTTTCCCGGAGCCCGATGCGTCGACGATATCATTCCATGGATCGAGAACCTTGATTTTGTTATCTTGACCGGCTCCGGCAAATGCATAGACTAGGTGGGTGCAGAGGGTTGGGTCGATCTGCTCCACGTCGAACTTTCCATCTCCTGGCCGGTACACCGCCCAGCTTCCGTAGTAGCCCACGAAAATCTTTCCACTTGTCATCGCTGCAGTTCGACGAAAATATTCAGCGAGAATCCTGGACTTTTTTTAATTGTTGGCTATTTCTATCAAGTTTACCCTAGCACAACGTCCACCGTGGGGGGGTATTCACCACCTCCCTCAATATGGATTTGGAACAAGATGGATGTCCCTCCAGGTGAAAATCCACCTGATGAGACAACTACCGTATTCATATTCTTTCCAGGGGGAAACATCCACTAAGGGTCAAATCCATAGAAGTGGATGGCCATCCTGTATATAATCCACCTGAAGAGGGTTGCCCAGGTGAAATTCCACCTGGTGGGATATCCACTTGGTTCCAAATCCACCCGTGGAAAGAGGAGGGGAGGGGGACATGCCCTGGTGGAATTCCACCGGGTTCCGAATCCATTAGGGCAATAAAAATTTTTTACTCTGAAATTTGCTCTCCTGAAAAGAGGAAAGCTCTCTGTCCTGTCCTGTAGATTAGGTGGGGATATTCCTGTTCCCTTAAACTGATGCCTTCTCTCATTCAATGCAAAAGAAAACTGAAGTAATCTACAGGATTTTCCAGAAGTCGCGCTCCGTATGTAATTTTTTTTTAACCATATGGAATATACTTTTTCTCTTGTTACTGATTGATTAATTATGGCATTAACTAAACACGATCGGGTGGAGATCATGGTTTACTCAAAGCACAATCGTGATGCCAATCATCTCAAACAATGAGTTATGAATGCATGCCAATCACTACAGAAGTGTTAGAAGATGTTCAAACTTCATGGAAAAACAGGACTGAACTCTGCATTATTCAAGACGGACAACATATCGAACCTACACTGTGATTAAACATTATCTAAAACCATTTTGTCGTATAGTCTATAGTGCGCGACTTCTGGAACATCAAGTAGTAAACATTCAGGATTGTTTATATGCTTATAAATAATTTTTGGTCTCGAGTAACAATACCAAGTTTGGTTGATTCTACATTTGACTGAGACAAAAAGGAAAACTATATTGAAAAAATGAAATGGGGCCGTATCTTAAATACAAAATATAAGATACACCTAAGTTATTCGTTTGCGACTGTCCTGGAAATTGTATGCCTCTTATAACACATGGCCTCATAACTTGTAGTGGCTTGCAGCGCCTGACAATCAGTACATGAATGCATATGCAATAAAATCCATGATACGTAACCGAATAATTTACCTCACCCGTTAGCACATAAAAAGACGTATGAGCATTTAATAGGAAAAAACCCAAATGAATGATTCATTACAGCAAGCGTGAAATTATTTTGTCATTCGCAAATTGAAAGTATTTTAATTGCAAATTTTATCAAAACATTTCATCTTTTGTGTGACACGATTCAAAGGCTTTCTTCGTCTCATCATCAACCATCGAGGGATAAGTTTGTTATATAAGCTTCGACTTTAGTTAGAACCCCAGTGCCAACTACCGATGATCGTGTGAACTTTAGGCCTATGGAAATTGGAGGATGTCCTTGAAGCATTCGCGCAGTGACTTATGAAGTCAGACCAGGGCGGGACACTTTTGGATTTCAGATGTGCTCCAGATTTCTTTCGGGCATTTATCGCCACATCTGCTGCAACCTAGGAGTCTTATTTGTTACTACAGGTCAGAAAAATTTTACTGCATCCCTTATTAGTTCCATATTCTTTCGAATAAATTGCCTAACATTAGGTGAAGGATTTCTGGCTGAAATTGCATGGCTTTGGCATATCATGGGGCATAAATCTATCTCAACTTAGGTGAACCCATGGAGGTGAAGTTTCTGCCTTTATAACCTTTGGGTTAGGGCGAATTAGAAATAAGCTTGTTTCTTCTCAAACGTTGTCATGCTGCTCTGATTTATGCCTATCATATGGTGGATCAGATCAGAAAAGCCTTGCTTTTCGATGCTACAAGGGGTGATCCAAAAGTTTTTGCCCTGAGGTATAAGGAAATGTGAAAGACTGTTTAAACAGATTTTATTTTTCAGCATTACCTCCCTGGACATGAATGCTAGTCCGATTGTTGGAACAGTACTTCAAATTTATTGGGAAATTTTCATTTTCCACCGTCAACTAAAAATGCTGAAATGGCTTCACGGAAGAGACAGGATTGTCAGTTTCACCTTCACGGTCGCTTCACAGGAAGTTTTGCTATACATTTATGCTATTTTTTGCTAGGGAATGAGCTGTTTCCTTGGAATGATTACATGTATATCATGTAAATAGTTTAAATACTTACTAGAACTAAAAAATTGCTATGTATTCAAAATGCTACAATTTGAGACTTATATTTTTAGTGACAGAAACGTGTCTTACATGCAAATTATTACTTAAATTACATATGCACCTTAAGCCGATTGCTAGCCCTTTAATTAACTGAAAAGGATGTATGAATATGGGAACCAAATTTCAGCTCCCTCCGATCATTCCTACTACCTCAAGGCAGAAACTTTTGGATCGCCTCTCGTATAGCTCGTATGCACTCTGACCCTTCGCTGAACGGACTGCATTTGTGTATAATCTCTTTGTCGTGTGATGTCATGTTTCCAGCTCGTCAATGGAAAGTGGATACCAAAGCCTGATAGGTTGTTGTGACAAGAGCTGTATCGATCCTTAGATCAGAGATCGGACATCGGCCAATTCAAGTATTTTCCATGAATTACGCGAAACCGACCTTTGGGCTAGCTGAATATTATATTCTTTGCGCGCCGAACATGCATCGCATATATGAGGGTTGAATGAAAAGTAGTGGCAACATGTGTGGTATATGAAGAAAAGTTTTTATTTCATTGAAACCTACCATTACAAGCCTTCAATGTAATCTCCTGCCATGCAATGAACCTTGTCCCAAATCTCTGGGAAGCGACGGATACCATCAGCAGATCGATTCTTGTTAATATCTGCGATTGACCGCCCTACTAGCCGCATCACCTCCTCCAGACTGCGAAATCGGTTGCCTCGGAGGGGTTCCTTCATCTTCGGGAACAGATCAAAGTCACAGGGACTCATGTCCGGAGAGTAGGGAGGATGTTCTAGTTTCCCATTGCCACCGTGCCAAAAGGTCTTTCACCGGTTTTGCCACATGGCAGTGCGCATTGTCGTGCAGCACTAGTGGTGGAGCACCAGTAATGAAACGCGGACGCTTTCGTCGCACCGCCGGACGCAGATGATGCTACAGAAACTCTCGGTAGTGCTCCGCATTGACAGTTCAGCCCGCTACGACTACGACCCACCTCTATTTTGATCCAAGAACGTTTTTCCAACTTCGTAAACATGTCTTAGAGTGCTATGTTATGAGACGCCGACTTTCCCGGCTTGTTCACATGCGCTTTGCTGCCTTACAGACGTGACACTGATGGCGTACATCCGAGACATGGTCTAGCAGCACTGTGCGCGAACGGCCGCTTTATACCCGTTCTGCGCATTCGACAGCGGTGTTGCCACTTCTTTTCTTTCGACCCTCTTATTTTCCCAATTTCGATTTCGTTGAAACCTTGAATGGGCACATTTAATGTTCCATTAAATGTGCAGAGGCCTAACGTTAACGTTAGGCTTAGGCCTCTAAGTGCAACCCTCGCGCATGCAGCATGGTGAGCCGACGCCGAATGTTGGTTGCGGTTGGCTTGTTATACATGCTCTATATGGCCTATCCTAGCCTAGGTCTTTCTTTTCTTGTCTTTTTTCAATTGTAGTCATGTGGAATGCCAATCAGCACTGCTTCGCAGATTCAAACAAATGCCCCAATCTAGGTAATATAAATCTTTTACAATGTTTCCGGATTGACTTCAACTTCCGTATCCCCTCTCTATGGTGCTGTTGCCAGCAGTGACGTGAGAGACATCTTGCCTTCATCTTATATATTAATCTGCATGTGTCCGTCCGTCTGAAACGCTCTGCGTAGTCTAGCCTAGGTTTGTCCCGTCTGTCCTGCACGGGTCGACTTTTCCTCACTCTACCCGGGCTCGAATCTAATAATCTCGGCCCGGGCCCGACCCGAAACCACGCAACATAGCGAAACCCAATACTATGTGAGCAGGACTTGCGGACCGTGTCGGGCAGATCCGACCGACCCGCAAGCCCGCTTATGCCTCTGAGCGGGTTCAGAGTAGCCTGCTGGAGAGAGTTGATAACTCGGCGAAAGATGGTCGCAAGGATATATTGAGAAGAGCACCACCTCCCTCGCTCTCAACTTTGCACATCCTCCTGATGCATCCATCCATATCTGATGACAGATTATCATGCTGTATCGGCATGACATACCGTAGTTTTTGAACTTTTGTGAATGAAGTTATTATTGTACCGCTTAGTCTCTATCACATGGTTTTGAGGATTTAATCGCCTCGGAACAAAAGAGTCGCGTAGCGACGCGAGCGCGGCTAGTCATCATTAATAATGACGTACTCATAGAGATCGTATATTTCATACCTAGAGCGGCTGGTGGCGCTAATGTAGTGTGAGGTTTGGAAGCCATGATAGCCGGGTCATTCAAATATTGTGTTGGCGGCCTTGCCCGTACAGAGCAGTGAAGCAGGCAGCGGAGGAGTTGCTCCAGAGCTTTTGTAACCCTTTTTCAAGTGCGTTGGCGTTTTCCAACATGCCTAAGGCCTGTGCTGCAATTAATTGCAGTAATCGTGGTGGCTCCAGTTGCACAACATTCCATTAGTAAGTATCTATCTAAGTAAGGTCTAGTTGACGTAGGATTTCACCATGGGGCTAATCAGTCTAATCAATCAGTGTAAAGGAGCAGTAATTTGGGCCTGAGGAACCCATTCATAATGGCTAACGTTAATGATTGAACACTTGGCC